GGGTGACCCTGGAGGACATTATGCTGAGTGAAGTCTTTCAGTCACAAAAGAACAAATACTGCATGGTGCCACTGTTGTAAAACAGGACTGACCTCAGAGTTGAGAGAGACTGAGAAAGATGGGTTCAATAATATATACTGCATTGAAACAGATGAGGGAGAAAACTATTTAAGAGGGATATGTTATTAGGTATTTTTGTCATGACAGGAGTCCAGAGCAAAGGCTGTATAGTGGAGTGCACCTGGAGGGAGGGATTGTAAAATAATGAAAGACGTTTTCTTTCACTTCTCCAAGAGGGTAATGTCTGGTGGGGGGGAGCCTTGGGAGGGGACAAATCTACAACAATGAATGAATGGAAATCCAAAATCTCTGTAAATTTTCTTTGAAATTAATAATAAACTTTTAAAAAAGCAAAAACAAAAACAAAAAATCCCCTAGAGATCACAAGAACAGCATATTCAGCTCTTCCTAACGGTGATGCAGTCACTGAGCCTCATTGTGCTTGAGGTTGCTGTGAGTCTAGGGCTCACTCAAAAGCTCCTAATAACAATGTGTCCCCAGAACTTCTATAGACAATGATAATACAGCAGTGAATTAAACTAACTTGTTTCTGGCCTTATGAATCAAGATGAGTACGTAAAATACATAAACTCTGTTATAAAGGAATAAGTGCCTAAGAAAAAGAAACAAACAAACAGAAAGCCACACAACACAACAGAGGAAGGTGGAAGGTACCAAGATCTTTGTGTACTGAACAGGATGAAAAAGTTAAATTAAGTACCATGACAGGCCTTTTTGAGACAGATATTTGACTAAAAATCTTAAGAAAGAAGTTATAGGAAAGATGACTAAACCAGGCATGCTCTTGTTAGGTTCCATCTGGTCAACTCCAACACATACAATTCTATGTCCAACAGGTCAAAACTTTGTTGTTCCCTCTCTATCCTCAACCTTTTCTGTGCATAAGCTTGTTGAGGTATCAGAGGTGTTCATTCTACACCAAGAACTTTGATATGGATAGTAGTAGTTTGTCACCATGTGGTTTTCTACAGTATGCACAGGAGAAGTTATAGGATTTCTTTTTTCACCATGTTATTAGAGAAAGATACTGATGAGATTCATTCCTTAAAAGCAAACTCCTTGTTATGCCTGAGTTTGTTATGGTTCTTCTAGGATATATTTGGAAAACAACAACACAAAACACCAGACTGAGTGTGTGTGTGCGTGCGTGTGTGTGTGTGTGTGTATGTATAATGATTCTAGAATAGGATTTTTCTTAAAATCTACTCTCAAATATATATAGGCATATTCTGTATATTGTTTGAGACTTACTTTCCAGTGACATCCATGACACATCTTCCAAAGGTACAGGTACATGGGAACTCATCATGCTGTAAGCCGAGGTTATGTCCCAACTGATGGGCTATTCTGTTTGCAACTATATTTATGTCAGGTAAGAGATCCTGATTAAAAAAAAATAGTACATCAGAAACTTATAAAGAATAGCACACTATATTACATAATGCTTTTAACTAGTGGTTGAGTCATCTGATTTCTAGCTACCACCAAGAACTTCGTTAATTTGATTCTCTAGCACGCAGTTTCTTTAATTATTCAGAGAGGTTAGAAAAATAATCTTTTCTGTGACTCTAGTGCTCGCATTTTGAAATTATACTCCTGGCACAATAACAACCATTGTACTTATATAGTTGCTGTTTTTAGGTGCCATCAAGTCAAATACAACTCCTAGTAACCCTTTGAACCACAGATCTGAACCTTGCCTATATTGTGCCAACCTCATATCTCTCTTATGCTCAAGTCCATTGTCGTAGTCACTATGTCAGTCCTGGTGGCAGAAGGCTGGGATAGATATGTGTCTTCTTTCACTGATCTCTCCTCTACTTTTTCCAGCATGATTTAATTTATAGATCATTTATATAGGCTCTTTATAAATTGCTAAAAATAATAACTAATACTCTCCTACAATAATAAATATTGTACTGCAAACTCAAAGGTTGTGGTCCAAATCTACCAGCTCCTCTGGAGGAGGAAGATGCACAATTGGCTCCTGTGCAATTTATTGCCTCTGAAAAACCCACTGAAAGGTCAGTTATGGGAGGATTCCAACTTTGTTATTCCAACAAAAACGATGCTGTACCAGATATTCAAAAGGAATAAACAAATAAATTGCCTGGTTCTTGTTTTCAATTTATTGTCTAATATAGTAATGTTAAGAAATCATGAAAAAAGAATTTTAATTATGAGGAAAATATGAAATTTGGAAAGTTAAAATCCAACCTCACTTTTTACTTCTGGCTGTATTCTATTTCCTGTTCTGTAGTCATGTTGACATTTTTTTTTCCAAAAAAAGGTTTGAATGTAGGGTCTCTGTAAAGCTAATACACCCTATTTCAGCCATTCTTCTTACTAATATAAACATTAAAATGTGTCCTGTACTACTTATAATGTTCCAATTGTGATAATGATTATTTTATAATATTAGACTGATGCTAATTTATTTTGCTAAAATGCCATAGACAAATGCACATACATAGACGTAAGACTAATCGTATAATAAACAGATTACGTAGTCATTAAATAAGTATTCAAGTTCATAGTCTTAACAAAAGTGAACTAGGAATAAGAATTATTAGACAAAGGCAGTAAAGAAAACAATTCCAAATCTTGAATTTTTTAAGAAACTCTTACATAGCGTTGTTGGGCAGCATTAGCTAGATAACTGGAGATTTGAGAAAAGATGAGATAAACAAAGGGAGCTACCAATTTGTAGGACTAATGGTTTCTGAAAATAAACTGCAAGGCTGTCTTGATGTGATATATTAAGTTGTTTATCTGTTTTCTATCTGTAAAAGAATAATTGTCCTCATTTGTTAAATCAGCCATTAAGCATTGTATACATTACACGTCCTTAACAAATAATTGCCTTTTGCATAGTAAAGTCTTCCTAATCTTTAAATGTTAATCTATATATGGTTTTCTTTTAAACTTGCAGTCTCTATATGAGGGGTTATTTTTATTACTTATCTATAATTCTTAGAGATTATTTCTATTCAACAACATAGAAATCAGTTGGACAGAAAGTGACGCTACCCTCAGGCCTGGTTTTAATTGTTTTTGGTCAAACATTTTTCAAGGTAGTATAGGCCTGGTCTGTCCACTTGCTGTACAGAGGTAACTGGTGGTTGCTGTGAAACTGAACACTGTGACACTGATGTGTCAAATATGATAATGGTTACACATGGTGGACAGTGTTTGGTGGTGCACCCTGATTAAATTAAGCTTGGAAGCACGAGAGGCATCCACTTCTGAAATAGCCTGCCTCCAGAAACCCTATGAACTTGGAGAAACGATGAAGGTCCTACAATTGTTAAGGTCTTTCATTCATAGGATCACTATGAGTCTACAAATTGACGGCACTTAACAACAACAGTTGGTAAAATAAATGTGACAGTGTCTTTATGCCATATCTTGGTGAGAATTTATGATGCAGAGCGTTCATAACTCCTTTCAGTAAGATCCCACAAATTACCAATATCTAATGCAATTTTTTAAATTGAGGAATATAAAATAAATTAAACATAGCCCACCTTAACAACACTGGAAGAGGAATAAGGCAGACACATGCCACTTGGGTAAGAAATTCCTTGAGCATTTGTGTAGAGCCACTTCCCACTGCAAACAAGATACAAATACAATCTTCAACCTAAGTTAATGGCTTATCTAACATAAAAATTTAACTTCTGTGAACCACCAGTAGGCTAATATCTTTTCTTTAAGTCAGAATGTCAGTGCCTCATTATTTCTAAAGTTATTGAATTGAGAATGACCTTTGTTGAGACGGAGCTAATTTAAACTTGTTATATATTTGAGCCACTAAAAGACCCAATACACTCTTATTTTCAAATAATAAAAATTATTTCATCCATAAAAATAAAGAAATAAGATTAAATTCCCACTTTGCTTGACTCCACTCTGTCTTGCACTCATCTCTAGACATAACTTTCAAAGAGACAAGTAAATTTCAGAGAGAAAAATGCAATGCAGTGAATGGGCTCAATACCAAACTTTTACTCCACTGATTGTCCTCCAGGCAATTCTGACTCATGGTACCCTGTGTGTTACAGATGTAGAGCAGGAGTTACTCCATTGAATTTTCCTGGAGGCAGTCATTACAGGAGCAGTTTGTCAGGTCTTTTTTTCTGAACAACCGTTTGGTGGATTTGAGCTACTAATCTTTAGGTTGCACCACTTGGTTTTTTTCCAACATTTAAAATACTTAAAATGAATGAATAAATGCAAAAATAAATAAGTGCTTAGATGCAACAGGTTCAACGTCATAATTAATAGAGCTTGAATTTTTTCTCAATCCTAGAAACTTACAGAATATTTGATATCATTATAATCAAGCATTAAGAAGAGTTGTAAAATGAAAACAGAACTACTTATAAATTATCTTAAAATAGATAAGGTATGCTGTATAGAGTCAAGTTTTATTTGTTTCAAGAAGAAATTTAGATTTTGGTCACTATAAAAAGAGTTGATCACAGGCTCAAATAATTCAGCTGTTATCAAGTTGAGCCCTCCATTGGGTTTCTGAGGCTGTAAATCATAAGCAGAGAAGACATCTTATCCTTCCCTTTTGGTTAGCAGTGAATCATGCTAGAGATTATATAATCAAAGCAGAGAGCCTATTTAAATCATTAGCTTTTTGGATCAAAGTGATAGTCTTGAAATAGTTTTGATATCAATAAGATATACTTGAACATTTACTGTTGGAATCTTCCCATCTCTGACTTGGTATTTGACTAAATATAGAGGTTTTCAACAACAAAGTCTTTCTGGACTTTGGAGATAATCAGAGTAGATCATTTATGGTCATGACATACCAGCAAGGGCACAATCTAGGGCCCAACTTGGCTCATGATCACTGCAAACCCATGGCATGCAAGATTATGGTAATGTCATAGTACCGCCTTGTGATTTATAAAGGACAAAACACATAGTCTCAAATATAACCAGATGGTATTTCCGTTGTACTTCTAACTCCACACTTCCTAATTGTATATGTCCTATTGATGAGAAACACAACTGCCCTGAGTAAAAGACTGTTTATGGAAGTAAACTTATATCTGTTTAAATGTTTCTGGCCTTACTTATTATTTTAAAATATTTGCAGAAAGAGTGGATTATGAGGCTCTCTTTACTCAAAACAATGAATGTTACAGCAATATTACACTATCCTTCATCTTTTATTAATTTTGGACATTCCAGTGTGTCAGAGATGATAAAAGACAGCACAGGATAGGGTAAAGTTCAGGTCTGATGTTCATAGGAGTGGCTATGAGTTGTACTCAACTCAATGACACTTAACAACAACAACAACAACAGCAATGCATGAATGAAGAATCCCTGGTGGTGTAGTGTGTAACATATTTGCTAACTCAAAGGTCAATAGCTCAAACCAACTAGTCAAGCCATAGGAAAAAGGTAGTTTCTTCCTGTAAATAATATATAGCCTCAAAACCTAATGTCACTATGAATTGGAATAGATGACAGTTTAAATTCACATTTTATTTAAATAAAATGTGGCAATATGCTTTACTAAATATTCATATCCTTGGAAACCATATGGGCAGTTGCGCAGTAGGAGCTTTTTATGAGCCAGAATTACCTGGACAGCAATGGATTTGGAATTTGGAATGCATGAATACCCAATTCAAGCACGAATCTTCTTGGTTATGTGCTATGGGCGATCTCAGAAGCGCAATTTAGGAATATTACTTTGAGTGAGGAGCTCCAGTGGCCTTGTGGTAAGGAGTTGCATTGCCAATCCAAAGGCATGTGGTTCAAATCCACCAGCTGCTATTCCAGAGAAAAATGAACAATATCATCCCGTGTGCTTTACAACCTCTAAGAACCTATTAGAAGGTTAGCTGAGAGGTGGCTCCAACTCAGCAGCACATAACAAGAACAAGAAGAAGAAGAACAACAACATTATATTTTAGAGTCTGGTGCAATCTTATCAGCCTGAAAAGGTATTAGACCTGAACTATGAGCTCAGGTATGTGTTAACTCGCGTATGTGTTTGCAACTCTTAGAAGAAACATTTTTAAAGTTTTTTTTTTTTCATTGATCAAGTAGATACCATTCTAATAGAGTAGCTTTGAGTATATCAAAAGAAATGCTAAAAAGATTCCATTGCTTCAAAGTTTTCCCCACAATTAAACATTCTTTGAGACAACTGAAACATGACTTAATACATAGGTCAGCTACACAGTTATTTACCATTTCCCCCTGGGCTAAATTAATCTCCTTCCATAAAGATTTACAGCCTTGAAGCTGGATGAAGGGTGATTGCCAATTGAACCAACTAAAAAACAGTGGCTTTGAGGGTTTGATGAACTAAATATGGGGTGTTTTGGAATGACATTTTTTTAATCTCTTAGACATTCACAATCTGTTAGTCAAGATAAATAGAGAACTATTACTTGAGAAGATTAAACCATGATATGGTTTTTTTAGATCAGATTATTATACCGTGGGTGGGTTGTATGACTGGTATTTGTAAGCACTGATGAGCATTATCTATTGAGAGAGTAAGGCATGTTTCAAGAAACGTAGGTCTTCATTGAATTTTGCAAGAGAGAAGTAGAGCATTAGGGCCTGGAATGATCAAGAGGGTGAGAGCATTAACATTTGATGGTATAAATGAAGTAATTTAATTCTTAAACTACTTTGCTTACCTAGTGGTATTTTCAACTCTCCCTAGAAATATTGTTCCAAGCATTTTTGGATAATCTTCAGCAGAATCTTGCTTGCATGTGATATCAATGATATTGTTCGATAATTTCCACACTCTGTTGGGTCACCTTTCTTTGAATGAGAACAAATATCAATCTCTTCCAGTTAGTCGGCCAGCTGGCTGTCCTCCAGATTTCCTGGCACAACTTAGTGAGCACATCCAGGACAGTGTCTGCTTGTTGAAATAAATCAATTGGTATGCTATCAACTCCTGGAGCCTTATTTTTAGTCAATTCCTTCAGAGCAACTTGAACTTCCTCCTTCATCACCACAGGCCCTTGCTCATATGTTATTTCATGAAATTCCTGTATGTCAGTCAATTCCTTCTGATACAGTGACTTTGTGTACTCCTTCTATCTTCTTTTGATACTTCCTGGATCATTTAACATTCTACCCAAACTATCCTTAAGTATTGTCACCGATGGCTTGAATTTGTTTTTCAACTCCTTCAGCTTAAGAAAAGCTGAGCAAGTTCAGCCCTTTTGATTTTCTGACTCCAGCTCTCTGCACATTTCTTTATAGTATCTTGCTTTGTCGTCCCAAGATGCCTTTTGAAATTTTCTGTTCAGCTCTTTGATTTCTTGATTTCTTCCTTTAACATTGGCTTTTCAGCACTCTAATGCAACACTCAGAGTCTCATCTGACATTCACTTGGTCTTTTCTTCTTCTTCTTCAGCCTTTGTAATGATCTTTTGCATTCTTCGTGGATTATTTTCTTGATATCCTCCCAGAGCTCATTTGGTCTATGCTCATTGGTGCTCAAGGCCTCAAACCTGTTCCTGAGATGGTTTTGAAACTTGAGTGGGACCGACTTAAGGTCAAATCTTGGTTTCCGTGGACTTGATTTAATTTTCCTCAACTTCAGCTTGAACTTGCATATGAGTAGTTGGTGGTCTGTCCCACAGTCAGTACCCGGCCTGGTTTTCACTGCGGCTATTGAGCTTCTCCAGTGAATCTTTCCACAAGTGTAATCGATTTGATTCCTATGCATACCATCAGGTGAAATCCATGTGTATTGCCTGCGTTTATGTTTCTTATAAAAAGTATTTGCAATGAATACATCATTGAATGTGCAGAACTCTATCATTCTATCTCCAGCCTCATTTCTCTCACCAAGCCCGTGTTTTCCAGCTACTGATCCTTCTTCCCTGTTCCCAGGTTTTGTGTTCGAGTCACCTTATTATCAATATATCTTGATTGCATGTTTGATTAATTTCTGACTGCAAAAGTTGGTAGAAATCTTCTATTTCCTCCTCTTTGGCTCTAGTTGTTGGTGCATACATTTGAATAATAGTGGTATTCACTGGACTTTCTTGTATATGTATGGATATTATCCTGTTGCTCACCAAATTGTATTTCAGGATAGATCTAGAAATGACTTTTTAAATTATGAAATCAACCCCATTTTTTTCTCAGCTTTTCATCCCCAGCATAATAAATTATATGATCATCTGATTCAAAATGTCCCATGCCAAGCCATCTCATTTCGCCAATACCTAGTATGTCAATATTTATGTGTTCCATTTATTTCTTAACCATGTCCAATTTTCCTACATTCATGCTTCTCACATTCCATGTTCCAGTCACTAGAAATATGCATGTATCAGATATTTTCCCTTCCTGGTGTTAATCACTACACACAAAATTTTGGTGACTTAGTGGTAAGGAGATGCTTCGCTAACCCAAAGGCATGCTGCTCAAATCCACCAGTTGTCCCTCTAGTGATAGTCGAGCAGTCACTTTCTGTGTGATTAAGTGCCTCTGAAAACCCACTGGAAGATCAGCTCTGAGTCAGTTCCAAGTTGACATAACAACAAATAACCAGCGCTAATCGACATTCTCTCAGTTTCTCACGGACATTATACAGGAGGCTGGGCTCTCTGAGGAGAAATGTGGCATCAGGATTGGAGGAAGACTCATCAACAATCTGTGTTATGCAGATGACAGAACCCTGCTGGCTGAAACTGAGGAGGACCTGAAGCACTTGCTGCAGAAAGCCAAAGACTGCAACCTTCAATATGGATTGAAGCTCAACATTAAGAAAACAAAGATTCTCAGTACTGGACCAATTGGCAGCATCATGATAGTTGGTGAAGAGGTTGAGATTGTTAATGGGTTTAGTTTGCTTGATTCCACAATCAACACTCTTGGCACCGGCAGCCAGGAAATCAAAAGACAAATTGCAGTGAGAAAGTTTGCTGTCAGAACCTCTCCAAAATATTGAGGAGTAATGATGTCAATCTGGAGCCTAAGGTGCACCTGATTCAGGCCATGGTCTTTGCAATTACTTGCTATGCATCAGAGAGCTGGACAATGACCAGGAATGATGGAAGAATTGATAACTTTGAGCTGTGGAGCTGAAAAAGAGCATTCATTAAACCATGGACTTCTAGAACAAACAGGTTCATCCTAGAGAGGGTGAAGACCAGGCTTCTCTTGGAGAGAAGGATTTTAAAGCTTCATCTGACATACTTTGGGCATGTTGCAAAGAGGGACTAGTCCTTGGAGAGGGACATCATGCTTGGGAGGGTTGAAGGACAGAGAGGAAGACCCTCAATGAGATGGATTGATTGGGGAAATGGGAGTAAGTGTGCCAGAGACAATAAGATTGGCATAGGCTAGAGCAGGGTTTAAGACTATTGTAGATAGGGTCACTATGAGTCTCAGGCGATTTGACAGCACAAAACAACAACATTGACATAGAATAACTAGGCCATTAGAGCTTTCTAATAAATTTTGGTGGTGTGGTTGTTGTTGTATGTTATTAAATTCGAACTCTAGTTGACCCTCCAGCAGGTTTTCAGAGGCAGTTAATCTCATAGGAGATTGCCCATCTGCTCCATGAGGTAGCTGGGGGATTTGAACTATGTGCCTTTTGGATTGCAGCAGACTACTGGTACTTAAATTTTTTTTTAAATCTAGATGATATTTTGCCATCATCTCTTACTCAAAAATTACTTAGTTTTTTATGAGCTACAATGTGAAGGAAAGATAATGTAAAAGACAATGAATAAAAACTCTGTCAGCAAACAATTTTTTTAAGTAAATTACTTGTTTTATAATTTTTTTACTGTTTTGCATACAAAATATATATGAAAATTATACATTATTTTTCACACAGGATCTTTCCTCTTACTTTTAAAAATGGCTTTAAGAATTTATTTATTATTTTTTATTTTAAATTCATGTCAACTGTACAGGAAAATAGAACAGACACATACCTGAGCAAAACAGCATGGTCAAATGTCTTCTTTTTCTTAAGGTTTATTTCTTGCCAAGATGAAAAACTTATTAAAGTAGTTTCTATATTTGAATCTACTTTTATTTGATCTCCATTTATCCATACTTCAAATCCAACCAATGTCACATAAATGTTCAAATATTTATAAATCTATTTTAAAAAGGAAAGGTTTTTCACAAAGTTAGTGTGTTAGAAGGAGTTTGTTTAATAACCACGTGCCTTGGACAAAGATATAAATTCTCAACAATACCAATTGGCACAGGACAATGAGATTGAGTATAGTGGAAACTGAGAAGATTCTGTGCAAAAGCATAAATAAATATTACCTGAAAATCTTTTTATCATGTAAGGTGTGACTAGTGAAATGAAATGTATGTGTGACTCATACCTTAATTTTTATATAGTTTTAAGGCACATTTTGTGGTTAGAAATCAACAGTTTAAATTTATTTGAATATCAATTGTATTTACTTAATAGTCTCAGAACTCTCATTCATTTGTTGCTATAATGTTTTAATAATTTTTCCCCAATTAGTCTCTGATGAATTTTTGCTTTTTGGCCAGCCTCAGCATTAGAGATAAAGATATCTAAAATGTGAATCATTTTTAGTTTGATTAAAATTTTATGAAAGCTTACCATATTGACAAAATTGACCATTCCCAAAATTCTGTTCCTTAGTTTATCATGAGGATGACTATTCCTGCGATACTGAAAATGTAAACACAAAATTAAAAAAACGTTAATAACCAGCCAAAGATATTATCAAGAAAGAAAACTAAAGACCACTCTCTCTCATGAATATAGACACAAAACTCCTTAAAACAATCCTAGCCAATAGAATCCAAAAGCATATAAAAAACATGAATCACCATGATTAAGTGGGATTCGTAATAGATACGCAAGGATAGTTCAACATAAGAAAAACAATCAATGTAATTTACTATATTAACGAAGTAAATAACATGAACCATATGATCTTAGCAATTGATGCAAAAAAGGGATTTGACAAAATCCAATACCCCTTCCTGATAAAAACACTCAGCATAGTACCACTGCTGTAGAATGGGACTGACATCAAGGTTGGGGTAAGAATGAGAAAAACTGGATGAATTATGTATACTGCACTGAAACAGATGAGGGAGAGAATGGTTTAAAAGCGATATATGATTGGGTACTATGATTATCACAAGAGTCCAGAATGAAGGTTGCATAGTGGAGTGTACTCGGGGTAGGGCTGGGGAGGATTGTATAATACCAGTGTAAGAATTTTTTACTTTTCAAAGAGAAGAATAACTGGAGGAGAGGGGTGGGCAGGGAGAAAAGGGCAACAAAGAATGAATGGAAATCCAAAATCTCTGTAAATGTTCATTGAAATTAATAATAATAATTTTAAAAAGCCACTCAGCAAAATTGGGATAGAAGGGAATTTCCTCAACATAGTGAAAAGTACAGATGCAAAACCAAGAGCAACATCATTCTCAATGGAGAAAGACTAAAAACACTTTTCCTTGCAAACAGGGACCAGACCAGGATGCCCACTGTCACCACTTCTTTTCAGTATTGTATTGGAAGTGCTTGCTAGAGCAATACAACAAGAGAAGGAAATAAAAGGCATCCAGATCAGCAAAGATATGATTAAACTGTTCCTATATACAGATGATATGATAGTGTACACAGAAAACCCCAAAGAACAACAACAACAAAAATCCTGTTAGAGTTATTAAACCAGTATAGTAGAGTGGCAGGATATAAGATTAATATCCAAAAATCAATAGGATTCCTGTATAGTAAAAAAGAGAACTTAGAGAAGGAAATGAAGAAAGCAATACCATTTAAAATAGCCAATCACAAATTGAGATACTTTAGAGTGAACCTAATTAGGGACACATAAAAACCCACAGAAAGAAAACTACAGAGCATTTCTGCAAGATACAATAAAAGACCTAAAGAAATGGCAAAATGTGCCCTGTTCATGGAATGGAAGACCCAATATTGTAAAAATTACAATCCTACCAAAAGTAATCTACATGTTCAATGCAATCCCAATCCAGATACCAAATTCCTTTTTCAAGGGGTTTTAAAGGGAAATTATCAAATTTATTTGGAGAAGCAAGAGACCTTGAACAACCAAAACACTTCTGAGAAATAAAAATAAAGTTGGAAGCATAGCAATCCCTGACCTCAACCTACTACACAGCAGTGGTAACCAAAACAGCATGATACTGGTCCAAAGACAGGCACATAGGTCAATGGAACAGAAGTGAGAACCCAGAAATAGTCCTAGCTATCTACAGTCAACTGATATTTGATAAGGAAGTCAAAGCTATCAAATGGGGAAATGATAACCTCTTCAACAAATGGTGCTGGCAAAACTGGACTTCCACCTGCAGAAAGCTGCAACAGGATCCACATCTCACACAATACACAAAAATCAACTCAAGGTGGATCAGAGACCTGGGAAAAAAGCCCAAAACCATAACATTCATAAAAGACATACTGGGATCAAGCTTAGAAGAGCTGGTCCAAAGTACAAAGGTGTTGCCAAATACAACCAGAAATACACAATCTAAAGAGGATAAAATTAAGGCATGGGACCTTGTAAAGATGAAATCCATGAGTGCATCACAAAGTCCTTCCAACAGCGTGAAAAGAAACCCTACAGACTGGAAACAAACATTTGGTAATACCATCTCAGACAAGAGTCTTATAACAAATATTTAAAGAATATTCCTGGGCCTCCACAAGAAAAAGACTGATAATCCAATTACAAAATGGGCAAAAGACATGGAAAGAATTTTCACAGAGAGATATTTGAATGACAAACAAACATGAAGAAATGCTCCAAATCATTGGTAATAAGAGAGATGCAAATCAAAACCACAATGAGGTTGTTGGTGGGATTGTAAAATGGTACAATCATTCTGGAAGGCATTGTGGTGCTTCCTCAAAAAATTGAACATAGATATTCCATATGACCCAGCTATTCCACTATTTGGAATATGCCCTTAGAAGATGATAACTGGGGCACCAACGGAGATTAGTACACCAATGTTCATAGCAGCATTACTCACCATTGCAAGAATATGGAAACAGCCCAAATGTCCAACTACAAATTAATGGATTGAGAAATTATGGTATATTCACACAAAGGAATACTATGCAGCATGCAGGAGCAATGATTTTGTAAATTATTACCTAACTTGGGAGGGACTAGAGAGCATTATGCTGAGTAAACTAACTTAGCCCCACAAGGATAAATATTGTATAAATCCATTATTGTAGAGTGAGTATAATGATCCAAGAGGAATGGGGGGGGGGGGGAGGATTAATCATATGGCTATACAATTACTTAGATGGGAGATGAGGGAAATTTAAAGAATTTGTCTTGAAAAGAATGTATTTGAATTTTGTCAATAAATTAGTAGAAAATTAAAATAATAGTAATTGATAAAGGCTCAGGAAAATACTTCATTATATTTTGAAAGAAAATCTACATTCTATGTTCTACTCGGGTTGGGGGGGAATTCACGCAGAGATAACTTTTTTTTTAGAGATAACTTTTTAATAAAAATACTTAAATTCAGTAATTTCTGAAGAGTTAGCACTAGTGTAAGGTTTTTTTTTTTTGTTCCTTAATTTTGTTTCTTTATTAAGAAAATTGATGTGTTATTTAGAGTACATTTTTACCACTGTGTTGAAATGCAATGAATTTTATTTCAATAACCACTCAATAACTACTCAATTGCAAAGAACAACAATTCTATCAACTCCTTTCCTTGGTTATCAAAAAGAAATTGCCCATCTTTCTTCCTTGGCTACTCTGGTGGATTTGAACTTCCAGAGAAGTGTAGGCTTTGGGCTAGCAGCAAAGCTCTCTTTGGACTACTGTAGCTGAGCAGGAAAACAGTCAGAGAGGTGATAGAGCTGGTCGGAAAACCAGGCTCCTTCTCTCAAGTGTGGTCCAGCCTGCTCGGCCACTGTCTTTCTCACAGTTACATTCCCTTTTAGTGTTGTCAGAACCTTACTTTCAGGATTAAAAACTTAGTCTTGATAAAATATGATCAGTATTATTATTTGTTGTTTTGCATTCTTGAGTTAGAACCAAGCTATAACTGAAAGATAAAATACAACAACTAGCTATTCTTTTATCATAAAAAAGAAGAAAAAATAACAATGCCTTTTCTGATTCTAGTAAGCATATTCCAGTTACTATTCCATTATTATTCTGTTCATTTAAATATCTAAATAGCTCAAAAATGTATCATTAGAATTCTTCCACTTACTTGCTCAGATTTACTCCTCGATTTACAAAGATCTGATTTCAAATACCATTGTTGTCGTCGTTGTTATGTGCCGTCGAGTCGCCTGCGACTCATAGAGACCCTAAGTACAACAGCCCTAAATTCCACTCTGTCCTGTGCCAATTGCACTGTCTCCGACACTCCCATCCCAATTATCCCAGTCACTGAATCAATCCAACTCATAGAGGGCCTTCCTCTCCTGTGCCGTCCCTCCACCCTCCCAAGCATGATGTCCCTCTCTA